ATCACTTTCAAATAAAAAATTATAAAATAATAATAATAATAATAATAAAACTCAGAAACAAGTTCAGAAAGATGAGAACTTGTTCAAGCACAACACAACCATCATGTCTTCATTCTCATATACAACAAATTATATGCTCTAAATTTTCTCTCTCTTTCTCTTCTCTCTCCTCAACTCTATTTCAGGGAACTCTGGGTATCTCCGCTGTTTAACTTGAATTGGGTACGCTTGCTCTGTTGATGTAAAAATTCAGATTCCTCTGCTTCTTCTGGGTCTGTATCTATATACACATACATGTGTTTTCACATGTGGGTTTGAGTTTTAAAGAAATGAATTTGGTAAGTCAAACTGCAAAATCGATGTCTATGCCCAACTCTAGTGTTTCTTGGAAGTCCGGCGAACCCGACCCTTTTCCGGCTGGTCTCCGAGTACTTGTTGTTGATGATGACCCGACTTGTCTCATGATTTTAGAGAAGATGCTTCTAAACTGTCTCTACGAAGGTACATATACATATACATATATATATATATATATATATTTGCATAATCTTGAATAATTGAATTTTGTTGAGGGTTGACTATTTTGGGTTGTCTTTCAAGTTGTGTTGTTCTAATCATTTCTGTGATTGAACATGTTATTCTTTTCTTGATTATTACAATTTGTTGTACGTACTATGCTATTAACATCAAGATTATGGTTATGTGATTAGGAATCTGTGGTTACATAACAACTTTATATGCAAGACCAACTGAGATTTTGGTCACATAATATTATTAGTTTTGATTTTGTTCAGATTTGGAAATGGGTTATATGTTCAAAATTGGAATTTGGTGTGACAAGGCATCTTATGTGTTCAACTTCTAATAATTCTTGAAGTTGTTCACTTCGAGACTAAGAGGTTGGTGTAATGAGTCAAGTCTTTTGGTTGAGTGCGATTTCTGTTCTCCTGTTCCCTTTCAACTAAAAAAAGTGTTAGACTTGATTTAGGGATCCATTTGTTTTTGGTTTTTATTGAGCAAAGGTTAGTCTTGTTTTGAGTCTGGCCTAGTGGATGAGATGCTCCTTTACTGGATGTGATTCCTTAGTTCGGGTCCTTTCTTTTCTGGACGTGATGCCTCAGTTCAAGCTTTTTCGCTGCGAGTGCATTATCTTTTCTCTTGTTCCCCTTCTTACCAAAAGGAATTATTAAAGTTGATTTAGTGATCTACGTGTTTTTATTTTTGGTTTTTCATTGAGCAAAGGTTAGTATTGATTTGAGTCTGGCCTAGTAGATGAGGCGCTCCTTTGCTGGGTGTGATGCCTTAGTTCAACTCTTTTATTTACTAGACGTTCTATTCGAGCCTTTTTGATGTTAGTGTAGTTTCTCTTCTCTTGTTCCCCTTCTACCAAAAAGTATTATTGAACTTGATTTAAGGATCCATTTGTTTTTGTTTTTGCTTAGGGGTTTAGGGGTTTCATTGAGCAAAGGTCATTCTTGATTTGTGCCCTTATGATAGACAGACTACACCTTTCTTCTACTGGAGTGTATGTCTATGTCCTTAATCCAAGAATCTAAGAGGTTGTACTCGTGTGATTTATGGAATAATTGACTCAAATTTTCTGAGGTTTTTAGTTTTTTTATTATATCAAGGAACCCTTGACCCCACCTTTAGTGAGACTTGGGGTAAAACTCGGATATGTGCTTTATGGAATAAGTGACTCACTTTTCCTGGGGTTTTCAGTTACCAAATGCAATCGAGCGGAGATGGCATTATCACTGCTACGAGAGAACAAAAATGGTTATGATATTGTTATAAGCGATGTCCACATGCCTGACATGGACGGGTTCAAGCTCCTCGAGCATATTGGGCTGGAAATGGACCTGCCTGTAATCAGTAAGCACCTTGGTTTAGTCATTTCAGATGGTTTAACCGTCATTCTAAACACTGATAGTTGGATCTTAATAACAATTATATTCTGAGATCTGATTTTGTGCTTCTACAGTGATGTCCGCGGATGATGGTAAGAGTGTTGTGATGAAAGGTGTTACTCATGGTGCATGCGATTATCTGATCAAACCGGTTCGAATTGAGGCATTAAAGAATATATGGCAGCATGTAGTTCGGAAGAGGAAGCATGAGTGGAAGGATATTGAGCAATCGGGAAGCATAGAAGACGGAGAACAGCAACAAAAGCAGACAGATGATGCAGATTTCTCATCATCAGCAAATGAAGGGAGTTGGAGAAAGAGGAGGAAGGATGAGGAAGATCAAGTGGAGGATAGGGATGATACATCTGCGCTAAAGAAGCCACGAGTGGTTTGGTCGGTCGAGCTCCATCAACAGTTTGTGGCAGCTGTAAATCAACTTGGCATTGACAGTAAGAGTCTTTACCCATTCCTTTCTTCTTCTTTTTTCCCCTCATCTTCTTCTCACGCATACTTTGCTTTGCCTGTCCATGCTTTTTCCTTGATACAATTGTTGTATAACTTGTATTAGTTGTACTATTCATTCAATAATAAGTGCACTATCTTCTTCTACATCTGCATATCTATCTTTTCTCGACCCTATGGAAGACGCTTGCAAAGTACTAGCAGTTTACCTTGGAGTTATGTGAGAAGTGCTACATGAATAAGATCTTATGGTTGGCTCCTAGATTATGTGCTTATGATTGCTTTCTAATTGACAGACTTTTGGTTAAAAAAATTGTCCACATGTCAGCTTATAGATAGAACTAACCTGATGTAACCAATCCTCGTATCCCAATCAATTGGGGTTGGCTGTTGATGAATGTTTCCATTAACCATGATTCTATTGCACTTCTTCACTGTTGCATCTACCGCTCCTTCGTTATGCTCGATCAAACCATCTGAGTCTGTTTTCTCTCAATTTTTCTTCAATTGGCACTATTCCTACTATTTCACAAATGTATTAATTTCTAATTCTATCTTTCCTGATCCTATTTATTGGTAGAACTGATTATGAAAATTGGTTTATTCTTATTCAACAAACTGCTGTTATATTTCCTTTTTTGTGTGTGTGTGTTTCTCTCATATCGTCACATTTGATAAATGACTACAGAGGCTGTTCCTAAGAAAATTCTGGAGTTGATGAACGTTCCTGGACTCACTAGAGAAAATGTTGCCAGCCACCTTCAGGTATAGAGATATTTTTCTTGAAGTAGTTCATCTGTTACAAACTCTCATACTGTTAATTATTCACAATTTTTTTCCTGCCTTCCTTTAAGGATAACTTACAATTGTATCCATTTGGTGCAGAAATATCGGCTATACCTCAGAAGGCTAAGTGGAGTATCACAGCACCAAAGTGGACTCAATAACTCTTTCGGAGGACCTCCAGACGCAACCTTTGGGTCAGTGTCTTCATTCAATGGGCTTGATCTTCAAGCACTTGCCACCACGGGTCAAATCCCAGCACAAAGTCTAGCCACACTCCAAGCAGCAGCCTTGGGAAGGTCCACCACCAAATCTGGCATATCTGTGCCCCTCATGGATCAAAGGAACCTTTTCAGCTTTGAAGGTCCAAAATTAAGATTTGGAGAGGGCTCGCAACAGCCACAACAAAGCAATAACAACAATAAACAAATCAACTTACTTCATGGGATTCCAACGACCATGGAGCCAAAGCAACTTGCCAATTTGCACCAATCGGCGCAGCAGTCTTTCAGGGGCATGAATATGCAAGTGAACAACGCCCGTGGAAACCAAAATAGCTCTTTACTGGTGCAAATGTCTCAACCACCGCAATCGAGACCGCAGATATTGAATGATACCAATGTAAATCATCTTTCAAGGCTTCCATCATCCTTACCGCAACCTACTTTATCAGGCGGGATGCCAAGTAGTGCTGCTTTTGCAAGAAATGGAATGGTTGACAATGCAAGAGGAGCGGTGTACAATTCAGTTTCTCAGGCCTCTTCAATGGTAGATTTCTCAATAACCCAAAACACAGATTTGCCGGGCAATAGTTTTCCGCTTGCGAATAATCCATCTGCCATCACATCGAAAGGGGTGCTCCAAGAAGAGGTTAACTCCGAAATGAAAGGATCACGAGGATTTGCTCCTAGTTATGATATTTTTAGTGACCTGCATCAGCACAAATCCCAAGATTGGGAGTTACAGAATGTGGGCTTGGCCTTCAATGCCTCCCAACATTCAAACATGCAGGGCTGCCTGGATGTCCAGCCGTCAGTTTTGGTCCACCAAGGGTTCTCTTCAAACCAAAACAGTTTGCAGAACAGAAATACTTCTGTTGGCAAAGTAATGTTCTCAGCCGGGGAAGAGAGTGGACATGGGAATGCCCATAACATCGACCAACAACTTAATACGTTTGTTGCTGACAATTCATTTATTAAGGCCGAAAGTCTTCCTGAAGCAAGCTGTCAGAACATGCTATTTCCTGAACAGTTTACTCAGGAAGACCTTATGAGTATACTACTAAAGCAGGTCAGTTATCTGGTTCTCAATCCTTCTTGTAGTATATGCCTTTTGAAGCCTTTATCATTGTTTGAATGTTGAAGAATGCCTACTTGGTTGTATTTTTTTGTTTTTTGTTTTCTGTTTTCCTTCTTCGGAAACATGCATAAAACTTGTTTGTTTTTTGAAAATTATTTTAGAAATTTTTTTCTTAAAACCATGTACTTTTTGGGAAACACCAAAAAGAAGTTTTTGAATTTTTGAAAACTGTTTTCACATAAAAATCAAAATGATATGAAAATGATGCATGCTTTCAAATTTTCCATTATTCTTGTTTCCAAAAACATGAAAATGAAAACAGATCCACACAGTCAGTGCATTATTTTACTAATCTCAAATTTCTCGTTACGTTGCAGCAAGAAGGCCTTGGACAGGTTGCAAATGAGTTTGGTTTTGATGGGTATCCCTTGGATGATCTTCCTGTGTAGGACATGCTTCCTGCTCCAGCTCTATCTATTGTTGCAGCTTCTGGTGTACATAGTTGCTATTACTTCCGAGTTCAACTCACATCCTTTCTGCAACTAAAATGTGAAAATTCAGTTTCCCTACTTCAAGAACACATAATATTGATCTGCATCTTCTGGTTGTGAATAGCTTGCTGTGCTCATCCAATTTGGAGATTAGGGATCAGATAGAACGTTCATTTCAGATGAATCAAATTACATTGGGAGTCATTTGAAGTGGGAGGAAAAGCATGGAAGGCTCAGCTGCACGATTTATGCCAAGGCGTATGAGCAAATTTTTGACTGCTTTTGTAGGTGAATCTAGCAAGAACTAGTGTTTTTCTTGGGCTTGTGAAACATGTTTGGTGGGTAATATGCAAAGTTGGTTGTGCTTTATGGATGATTAAGAATTTTGGTTCTAATAATATGATCGAGTTGTTGCTTTAGGGCTTCAAACTATATATAATGTACAGATTTCATCTGATTGCTCGAGATACAAGTCTTGATTGTTTTTTTTGTACTTGTATGTTTTTTAGTCACTTTTCTGTACTCAAAAGATTGAATTCTGATTTTATGCTTTTATGAGCTTTGCTGATAATCACCTCCTTACAACGTCTCGTATTTTTCTCATACCTGTTTCTAGTTGCTCTATATATGATTTGATATTGAAAGAATAAATAGTAGAAATATTTATGTATGATTTTCAGTGACAAAAAAAAAAGAAGGGTTCATAGGCATACAAGCTTTAGAAAAAAAGTGCAAATATGCATACATATTTTGAAATGTAATATACCTTTTTTTTGAAGTACAAAAAAAATGTCAATTATAAAGTTAGCAAAAAAAAAACTTATCTCCTCTATCACTAATAAAGTTATCATTACTAATATTTCCAATAGAACAGATATGCTTGCTAATATGTACTTTTTTATTCTGATAAATAACACCTTGTGGATTTTCTGAATAATATTAAAATTTCCAAGTAATAAAATTATGAATAATAACTGTACAGCCTCAAATAAGGAAGAAAATGAAAGGAAAACCAAACAGGAAGACTTTCCATGGCTTCATATCACAACCTCTCTACAAAGCTAGAGAATGAAAGAGCCTCTAGAACAGAACAACGGGGGGAAATTTTCTTGGAAAATTTCTAGCAACTGAAAATAATCTAGCATTCTATGAAGTTGTCGCACTGGGAAAAACAAGCAGCTGTAACACTAATCAATTGTTGTATCATCCGTTCAATGTATACAAATGAAAAAAATACAACAATGAATTAAACTGATAAATCTCATACAATGCTGTGTATACAAATACCAATCTCTATACTTTTTTGTATAATAGCTTTAACAAATGGAAATTCTGATGTCCCCAAAAAATCTACAGAACAAGACCATCGACCAACCAAATAGAGTGTTAGAACCTCCTGCATAACCAATAGTACCTCAAACGCAATTCTGGTAGTCACGATCGTCAAAATTCCCAATAGATCGTCATCCAAATCATCGAAAGAATGAAAGATAAGCACCAGCGACAAAACTGAGCAGCCATGCCTAATCTAATTGCTATTGCTGCATTAACATGAATACTACGACTGCCAAGAGTACCGAAACACCTATGGTTGCACCTGTCTTATAAGCATTACTTGCTGGAAGTACTGTGGGAAGAGAACATTCTGCCCCGTTGAAATATACCTTACTTGGGAACCCATCCCCACCTGCCACTTTGATTCCAGGAGTATTTTTCTTCGTAAACGAGATCACAGACTGTTGTTTTCCGGGCACCCTAGGATTTTGCTGTGGGTTGGTTCCATCTTCTGTTTCCGCTACAAGATAGTTCAAGCCCGGAAGCCCCTGCATGAATATCGTATTGTTCACACCATTCGGGGAAAGAGAACTTCCATTAAACGAATATAGTTTTTCAAAACCAAGAGCTGCTTTGTCCATTTCCACCGCGGCAAACCAATCAACAAAGGAAGCATCGTCCCAATTGAAGATCGTGATCCTTGCAGTCCACCCACGACTGTAGTCTGTGTATAAATGCCAGTTGATGCTGACACCACAGTTGTCTCCACATGGTAAGGGATTTGACCTGGGTAGGTGCTTAAGATCAGCCCAAGCATTAGCCAGATCAGTTCGATTCTCAAATGGAACAAGAAGAGCCTGAGATGGAAGCAGAAGAGCCGGGGCAGTAGTACTACAAGCACCATTGGAGGTACTAGGGCACCCACAAGCACATGTTTTGCAAGGGATGACGGATTCATTGTAATAAGCAGAAAACGAGACGCAGCACCTCGGGCTTGCTCCCTTTGGCTGTGTGATGTTGCACACCACCTGCCAGCTTGCAAATGCAGTTTTATCCGATGGTAGCCCACTAGAGTCTGGGAATTGGCTAGGACTCACCCGCACTGGAGGTCCACACTGATAATCCGGGTTAAGCGTGCCGTTGATCTTCCAGTTCTGTGGTGGCGTGAGCTGTGAACGGTTGAGATCTGGTGGCATTTTGAAAACATTAATCTGGAAAACTGAAGTTGATTTGCTCGGGTCCATTGATGGTGGCAAGATTGTACCATTTCGGCAACAAAAAGGAATCATTCCAAGGGTTGTGTCGTTGGTCTTCCCCAGAGGAAGGTCAATTAGGGTTGGCCTTCTTTCGCAATTCAATACATTGGAAAAGTCCAAATCCTTGTAGTATTGGCCTTGCCGACCAAATACGCAGTCTGATGAATCGACAAGATATGGATAAGCCCCTTTCATAGTGTAGATAAACTCATCTCTCATCCAGTCCCAACTTAATTTCCAATTATCAAGGCGGCCAAGAGGGTTATGGTTTGAGATTGTGACTTGAGCCCAGTAGTTTGAATCATATGTTCTGATCACATCATACATTATTGTAAGATCGCCATTTTGGCGGGGTAGAAATTCTTTGCCTGTGGTGGCATTACTTTTAAAATTTGCATCTTTGGTACAGCAGACTTGCATTTCACTCGTCCCTGCAAAATCCAGAAACAACAAATGCACAGATCAGCATAGGTGAAAACACAGGCACATCAACCTTAAAAACCTAACTTGCAAAGAAACAACAACATTCCGATGAAATTACGAATCAACGAATCTGCAATGGGATACGAGCAGGCAAACGAAAAGGGCAAATCAAAAAGGAAGAAAAGAAAGTAGATATTCGATCACAATGTCACGAGAACCCACTTTTTTCCGTCTTTTTTTCTCCATTTGTAATATTCATTAACAGAGAAAACTCAAACTTGTGTATGTTGTTTAATGGTCACATCACCATAAGCCGGTTGAGTACTAAAAATTCTGAATTGACTCCAGTATAGGAAATTTCATGTCTGAGCTGGAATAAATACACTGTTTTCCCTCGTACGCTTTTGATACTTTAGACTTCAGAAAGACAAATAATTGCCTCTCCTATCAAAGTGAAACCCATCCTATATCAATTCAGGAATGGTGCTCAAATAATTGATGGGTTAGATTAGGCAAAACCCATTGCTCAGGAATTGTACATTGTGGTACTGGTTATGAGTTATACGAATTAAGATTCTCCTGGTTTGTTTCGTAAGAGAAACATCTAGCATTCCTGGTGTACAAGGCGAGGTGTTAGTAATGAGGCTGGTTTACATGCTGAATGAAAACGTGCAAAGTAATTTCATTATCTTTCGAAAATATGTTTTGCCACAATGACAGCTGAAGCACATATGTTAAAACTTGTGTTGTTGATATGCATCTACTTCCCCTCTTCTAATTTTTTAAATATTCTGACCCTAGTTTTCCATCATCTTCTCTTCATCTTGATTATTTTTTAGAGAATTACTTGTGGCGATGGCGGGGGCTGGTGCAGGGCCATTGTTTTTGGTCTATGGTTAACACTTTCTTGTTTCAAAGGCCACAATCATTTTAAACATAGTTTTAAGGTATTAGTGATATCGGCTGATATCAAACAGAATATAGATGTGGGCGATATTTAATACCCTGATTTTAACCGATACATAATAAATTTATCCTACATTCCCTTTTCTTTTTCTTTTCTTTTTGTCAATCCTATGGCCATTAGTTTATTGACATTATCATAGAAAGTTGTATATATACAGATACTACGATATAAAAACCTCAAGGACAATGCCCCAGATCTATACCACACTAAATAACAAAAACAGCAACATATAAAATAACAAAAACCCATTAAAACAGTTTCTCCAATTCTCCAAAATGTCATCTTATGTAACAAAATTCCAAGATTTCATTTCCCTTTCCACAAATTCTAAGCAAACAAACAGAGACAAAATTTTGAATAGCAGCAGCAAAAAAAATAAAAATAAATATCAAATCAAATCAAATCAAACCCATCATCAATATATCAGAGTAACAAAACCCATTAAAATAGATTCTCCAATTCTCCAAAATCTCATCTTATCTATCAAAATTCCAAATTTTCATCTCTTCCCACAAATTCTAAGTATCCAAACAGAGATAAAAGATCAAATCAAACCCATCAATATATGCAGAACACATTACCAATATCTACAAATCTGCATATATAGAATCAACAGAACTGAAAATAAGCAAACAAACAGAGATAAAAATGTGAATAGCAGCAGCAAAAGAAATCAAATCGAACCCATCATCAATACATCAAAGTAACAAAAACCCATTAAAATTAGTTTATCCAATTCTCCAAGATCTCATCTTATCTAACAAAATTCCAAACTTCCATCACTTTCCACAAATTCTAAGTATCCAAACAGAGATAAAAGATCAAATCAAAAGCCCATCAATATATGACAGAACAGAACTGAAACAATGAGAATATATATACCTTGCAAAGTGGGTTTAGGGCAAACAAACCCATCATTGGCGAGAGAGATATTCGAAGGCATAGGAACACTGGGGGACCCAACTCCGAACTGGGTACCCACCAAATCGATCTGAACAGACATCTGGGTCAAGTCACCGGCGGTCTCGACGGCGGTCTTGAGATCAGAGCTCGGGTACCCAGCAAAAACAGTGCCGTTTCCGACTCCGGCAGGGAGGATAGTCCCGTCGGCGAGCACAGCATTGGAAGCCGAGACTAAGAACTCGTTGTGTTGAAAGCCGACGAAGACTTTCCAGGACTTGAGGTCGTCGAGGCCATTGTTGAGGATGGTGAGAGTGGACTGGAATCGGTAGGGTTGGTGGGTCGGGTCGGATTTGAGAGTGGGAGGGAGCTGGGCTCCACCGGAGTAGGAGTAGGAGAGGTATACGCCGTTGCAGGCGTCGGAGGCCGGAGATGGGGCGGTGGGTTGGGACTGGGAGATGGTGGTGGAGAGGAGGAGGAGAGTGAAGATGGTGATGAAGAGAGACGGGGCCATGTTTTGTTGTGATTTCAAAATTTGAGGAGAGAGAAAGTGTTATATAGAGAGAGAAAGATAGACATACACTTTTACACAGAGAGAGAGAGAGAGAGAGAGAGTGGGTAAAGCGAAGACGCGGAGAGAGGAAAATAGCTTTGGATTCTGTCCTCATTTGTGTTTTTTTTTTTTACGTTGCGTATTATATTTGATTTAGTGTATTAACATTAGTTATAATATTGTTTATTAATTTTATTTATTATATAAAAGTGTATTAAATTAGTTATAATATTATTATTAATTTACTTATTATATAAATTATAAATATTTTAAATTTTTTTAAAAATATATGTTATTTCAGATACATTAATTAGTGTATGTAATATATTATTATTTTTAATGCCCTCTCCTATTGTAAAATAAGCATAAGCTAGTTTAATTTCATAACTCGGATTCATTTTTTAAGAAATTAATTTTATTTTTTTTTTTGTTAAATTTTTTAATATATTAAATATTTTTTAAAATTTTTACATATACTTAACATATTTAAAAAATTCACTAAAATATCAAAAATATGAAAATTTAATATATTTTTCGTATTCTTGTATATTTATTAATTTTGAATTTTGTTTACAAATATTTTACTTTTTAAATACATTTAAGCAAAGTGCATCTAAAAAAATATAAAAAAAATAATTAAAATTTTAAAAATATTCACTATAAATATAAAATCACAAAATATAAAAAATTCAATTTTCAAAAAATTGAAACCAAACCCACTCAGTGGCTTTTGGAGAATCTAATCCGTTTGGTTTGATTATGAGTTTTGAAAAAAAAAAATTAAATTGTATTTTAAAATTTTTTTGAGTTAATTCTTTTGAAATTTAATTTTTTTAGGGTAAATATTTTTTTATTATAAATATCTTTTTAAATATACGTTGTATTTATTATATTTGTATGCTGTATTTTTTTAAATATTTAAAATTTTAAAAAAATGTTTTTTTTATTTTAAATATTTTCCTTTTTTTAAATATTTTTTATAATATATTTTTTATTTTTTTAAATATTTAGTTAAAAAAAATAGATTACTCATACATATCTAAATAATGACAAATTATTTAGTCAATACTTAAAAAAAACCAAATTATTTTTTTCAAAAACATAAAAAATATTTTTTCAAAAAAATTATTAAAAAAAATAAAAAATTAAAAAAATTTATTTTGTTTCAAAAATAGAGTTTCAAAAAGAGTTTTGAATTGAATTTTTGATTATGAGTTTTGAAATTTTTTTATTCAAATCATGATTCCAAAACTTAAGCAAATGCTACCTAATTTTTTTTGATAATATAATTATTATATTTAAAAAATAATGGGCAAATTACAAACACCCCCTCGAGATTTGGTAAAAATACAAATTCTTCACTGAGGTTTAAGAAATTATAAATTGCCCCCTGAGGGTCAAATTTTCATAACAAATTAGGGGAAATTAGGAGGGAATTTGTATGAAAATAAAAATCTCAAGGGACAATTTGTTATGAAAATATAAACCTCAGGGGGCGGGATGTAATTTCTCAAACCTCAAGGGGGAATCTGTATTTTCATCAAATCTCGAGGGGGGTGTTTGTAATTTGCCCAAAAATATTAATTTTTCAAAACTATCTTTTAATAGTACAGTTATTACATTTCAAAAGTAATTTTATTGAATTAAAAACAACGACAAAATAGAAAGTTCATGTTACTTTAATCCTTTATTTTTGAAAACAGACTAATATTTTGAAATAATAAAAAATAGAATAATTGACTAATATTTTGGAACGGAGGAGTATGTAAAAAAAGATAATTAAATTATGGATTTGGCTTCGCTCAAATAAGCAAGTGTTTAGTTTTGGTATGTTTTTTTTTTAACCAATTTTAGTGATATTAACCGATCACTTTTTAAGATTCATTGAGTAGAATATTCATATAAAAAATAAGATGATTGGATATTGATAAATACATATTTAAATCATATTTGTTTTAAAAAAATAGATGACAAATATAATTTTAAGAATAATCATTCATTTTTTAAAATATATAATTGGTTCAAACATATTGCTACCGATATCTAATTATTTTAATTTTTTGTATGAATATTCTATTTAACGAGTCTTAAAAAATATGAACAGTTTGGATCAACGAAATCAATTCGAAAATGGGCTTACCAAACCTGAATGCTCTCTCAAATTGAGATGACTTAATTTGATTTAATTTGTGATAAGCGAAACCCTTAAATTATATTCTTTCTAAAAAAGGATTAATGAAGGATATATTTCAAAAAAAATTCAATTTACTCCTAATATTGGTTGAAGCGATTAGTTCCCCCAAAAATAATAATAATAATAATAAAATAAAAATTTAATACATTGGGTGAGGCAAATGAAAAGCACATAGCACTATGAAGATGATAATTTATGTAGATTTAGTAAAATCTAAATCAACATAAAATGTGTGGCTTAAATTTTTAAGAAAACAATGCAATACAAATAAACAAAATTTACAAATTTTTCATACAAACTCATGTGGTTGCAATCATATTATTAATACAGTAATGATATATAAATTAATAAATAAAACATAAATCTGATCACTTTAATATTATTGTTATCTAATGAGCAGTTCAACAATCTAATACCACTTTTTTTACCAAAAAATACACACCTTTTTAGTTGTTCAAATAAATTAAAAAAATTGTAACATTATTTGAGTTTATTTATTCATTTATTTAAAGAGGCAAAATGGGAACACAAACAAATTAATAATTAGGAATGTTCATACGTCAGGTCGGACTAGGTTTGAATTGGACTAACACTACATAATAAGGGACTTTATATTTGTCTAATTCGGTTTGGCCCTAACATCCAGCCTCTCCATCTATCTAGCCCGGCCCCAAAAAAAAAATACTATAAATATCAAGTCATCCCATCGAGTTATATGCTAAAAAAAAATTTAAAACATTTCATAACTAAATTCAATAATAAATTATATTTCTTAAATAAATATATTGACATCATTATAAATTGAATATTTTTGTGTATAAATTAAGGAATTTCTTAAATAAATTCAATTGCACATCACTATAAATATAAATTTTAATAAAATGAACAAAGATAAAATTTGAATCCCACCCAAAAAAATATATATTTTAATGTATCGTAATTAATTAATTTAACAGCATGTGGGGCCAGGCCAGGCCGGGCGGGGATGGATTAGAAATCTAAAATCCAATTTATTAATGTTGAGCTGAAAATGCTAAGGTCAAGTTTACAAAGGAAAAAGTGCACTTATTTCATCTTTTTATTTTTTTTAGGTCACATCAATCAACATCTCCCTTTTATTTTTTCTACACATAATATAAAAAAAATCAAAAAGTACACTTATTTAGTCTTTCCAAACTAGGCCTAACTCAATCCGACTCTATAGATTAAAATAATATTTTTAATTTAAAAAAAATAAAATTAAATTGGACGGAGTAAGCGTACTAACGGACGGACACTCACCCCTACTAACAATTAGGTGGTGACGTTTCGTCATGGGCACGTTTCGGTAATGAGCTGGATGGATGCAAAAACATGCGTCTTGGATTATTTGACAACACACACGGGGTATGTGCATACATCGTTACCAATTACTCAAATATAAAAAAAAAAAATTATGCACGCTGAATTCATTTCGTCTTCATCTGTATACATTGTTTTGAATTATTTTTTTAAAGGGCAAATTACATTAATAGTCTTTATAATTTAAGTTATTTTGGGAAGATGATTATAATCAACTTTTTGATAAAAAAAATTACTTATAAGCAGCTTTTTTGTGAGAGAGAAACCACTTCCCAAAAGAGGCTTTTGGGACTTATGTCGCTTTGATTTCTGAATTTTTAATTATGACATATTTGATACTAAATTTTAAATCTTGTTTCAAATAAGAATAATTGAACATATCATTATTTAATTTCAAGTACAAAATTGTCAATTTGATAAAATATAAACTAATTTGATAAAAATAAATATTAAAAAAATATTTTTAAATTTTTAAAAATTATTTCTACCCACTAAAAATAAAATTATGTAAAATTGATAAAAAATTATACGATTAATTTTAAAAAATTAATTTTACATAATCATCATCCAAACACATAATAAAAATTAATTTAGTAAAAAAAAATAAATAAATATCTAAATGATTTATCAATTTTATATAATTTTATCTTTAGTGGGTAGAAATAATTTTAAAAAATACAAAAATAGTTTTTTGACATTTATTTTTGTCAAATTAATTTATATTTTATCAAATTAATGATTTTGTCCTTGAAAAATCCAATGGTATATTCAATTGTCCTTATTTGAAACAAGATTTAAAATTCATGGTCAAATATGTTACAATTAAAAAGTCAGGAATCAAAATGACACAAATCCTAAACTATAGGAACCGTTAGTATAATTCACCATTTCTTAAAAAACCTAATCACAACATATAACATATAATGATAAATCGTGAACTGACACACACGATAAAAAGGTATGTAAGATTTGTCCTACTAATCATATTTAGGGATGTTTTAAAAAGATAATTAAAAATTAATTTTTAATTTTTTTTTATTATTATATGTGAAAAATAATGTGATCCAAAATAAAATAGTCATCATGTTCTCCCACAACTTCCTTCAAATGAAAAAGATAAAATCCTTCCTTCCTTCAAATGTTCTCCCACAACTCATTTTAAAGAGAATCAAACCTGAAACTTAAAAATACACCGCCAAGTCTTACCAGTCGACCACACCCCATAGGCCCAACTTTTACCTATTGCTTCACACCCAGAGCCCAGCCCATCATTGTTCTACAAGGCTGTAATTTCCACATCTTACGTGTTACATATTAAGGGGTATTTTGAAAAGATAGTTAAAAATTAAATTTTTGACTTTTTAATTTTTTTTTAGATTTTTTTACGTGAGAAATGATATGACCAAAAATGAATTAAAAATTGGCTTTTAGCTTTTTTAGAAGGTTCCCAAATGACCCTTAAGCTTGATAGCAACCTCATATATAATTTATTTTTAAAA